CTCGAACTCCTGACCTTGAGCGATCCACCCACCTTGGCCTCCCAGGGTGCTAGGATTACAGGCATGAGCCACCGCAACCGGCCTGATGTGTTTTAATGTTCATATTTTTCATTCATAGTGTTGGGCAGTTGTTGAACCATTTCAATCTACAACTCATGTCCTTCAGAGCAGATAAACATTTCTGAATTATTTCATTGGTGACTTCCTCCCATTTTCTTGGTTCTGTTGGATCTCCTGGACTGGCCACTGATCTTTTTAGCTTTTCTAATTTTTCCATCTGTTTTGTTGTGGTTGTTGTTGTATTTTCTGGGAGGTTTATTAGAATTTCTCTTCCAATGTGATTTTTAATTCATTTTTGTCTTCTTACTAATTTTTTTTTAAATATGGAACACTTCATGAATCTGGACGTCACCCCTGTGCAGGGGCCATGTTAGTCTTCTCTGTGTTGTTCCAATTTTAGTATATATGTTGCTGAAGTGAACATCATCTTATTAATGCCTTTTTTTGGTTTTTTAAGTTCTATGTTCTGATTTCCTGAATGTGAACTCTTCTCCTGTCTCACTGAGAATATTAATTTTTTTTTAAGTTTTCTTCTCCCTACACAGTATGTATCTTTCAAATTGCTTTGCTCTGTTGTCATTTCGGTCTTGGTCTTCCATGTTGGAGAATTCCCATTTATCAGGTAATCCTCTGTTGTCTGCTCATAGTGAAGAGGGTCTAAAACACTGGAAGGAAGCCCTGAGTATGTGGGTGAGGCTTGTTGACTTTGAGCTTCACTCTAGGGTGATTTGGACAGGCTGTATATGGAGGAACCTCTGATTCAGGATCTTTAAGTCTTTCCTTTTGGATTGGTCATGCTCCCTAGAGCACTCTTTTGATCTTTTTCGGAAGATGGAGGTTCTGGGAGCTGAGTGGGATTGAGGGGGCTGGGGTTGGCTGTCAGCACTTAGCATTGAAGAGACTTATAGTCACCTCATGACCCTGTTACTGGCAAACTACCCTGGCTCTCGCCTGTGCCAGGCCAGCCCCGTCACATCCTCCGATTTACCCTCTTCAGATAATAAGCCTTCAGATGTCTGCTGGAGCTGGGGAGGAACCATTACCCAGAGGCAGGGAGCCAGAGCAGGGGTGTAACTGAGAAAGCACTTTTCACCAGTTCCCCTTATTTTACAAGTCTACCACAGCTCCAGCGCCTCAGATCATTCCACGGTTCCCTCCCTTGCAGGCTTCACGCTCAGCTGCCCCAGATCTGCTTGGTCAATTACCACTGATTTCCAGCTTCCAAAATGATGCTGTGATTTCTGTTCCCATATTCTTCATCTTTAGCTCTTTAAAAAAAAAAAAATCACTGGGTGGTTTCAGAGAGGTTTTAAGAGAGAGTACAACTAGGTGCATTTATTTGACCCATCATATTTGAAAAAGAGTCTAACTTATCTTTTGCTCCCTCTCTTCTGACACTCCATTCTCCACAATGCGACCGGGCTGGTTCTCATATAATTGTAAAT